CAAACAAAAAGTCAATCAGCAGTCTACTACTAATAGGTCAGTTTGAAGCACTTGAACCCTGCATAATACGTGATGTGATTCAAGAAGTGTCTGTAAATTTTTAGGGTACTGAACAAACAAATGCATACACTCTGTCACAGCTCCTCCTCACCGCATCATTTCAAACCACCACGCACTATAATTTACCATATATTTTTACAAAATGCAATCACTATTTTAATGAGATTGTTAGTCGATATCACTGAAGAAGATTTAGAATTTGATAACTGAGTCCCTGATGTTACAACTACTGTGTTCTGCATGTCATTTTTTATAAGAAATTAGCGGAAAAGATGCTTGACGAAAAGGTTGCTAAATCAAACCATCTGTAGTGGTGTCTCTGGTCAGTTCATGGCACTTTTATTTCAGTAGAGATTAAATGACATCCAATCGAAACCACACATCACATATTTATGGTTTAAAATCGATATCATTTTGTAGAAATATTGAAATTGATTATATCCTCTGTAGGAAATGAAACCGCATAAATCATCCCTCCTGCTAATTTGACACAGATGAGATACTTTGTGTAGATTATCTGTATGGTCGGCTGGACAAGTTAGCCACAGAGCAATATTTTTTTTCCATCCCTTGCGTTCCGAGTGGGACATGGGACACCAAACTTTGAAGTTTCAGTAGCGGCTGCTAGAGTTGCTAGCCACACACCCAACCTCCCAGGATAGTAAACTAGGTGAGTTCTAAGAGTGCATCATCTGGGGATCAAACCCGGAACATGTAAGTGGTTGGCGAGCTTACTAACATATGTTAAGATATACCACTACTACTGTAACAACAGAAGACAAGGGCCAGGCAACAGATCGTTTATTAAGGAAATCAAAGCATATTTATATATTTTCATGTACGTTATTATAGATTATTTAAGCAAACAAACACAGTCTTCCGATTGGTTGTTTCTCACTTAAAGTTAATCTTTCATCTCTCTGTAACTGTTTCTTGAATGTCAGATCATCTATACGTTAACTGTATCCGCCTACTCAAAGTCTGCTGTGGTTGGTTTTTGAATCAGTCTTGGTCACATTTTCTCACGAGCAATCTTGAGAACGTAAACATTGACGTCAATTACTGTCTACCAATTTGGCTAGTAGATAGCTCTCACCACACTACTACTAAACGATTATAAGCTAAAATAAATCAGCTATCCTGGGTCCCCCAGTTTTAAATTACCCTTTAGTACGTCTTCAGTCGGTTTGTTAAGAAAACCATAGCGGACTATGATGAATTACCTTCACTAATATTTCAGTCTATTTTTTCCTGTAAATCTACCCCCACCTCCTGCGGTCCTTAATATTTCGATCAAGATACTGTTTACCTGACACATATTTAAACTGCTTCAATAATTGATTAAATTGTCAACAGTAATGACAGTAATAATAATAATCATACAACTGGACAGAACTAACAGTCCGTTATATGCACGAGACACTGAATTCAAAATGTATATTCACGATTTTATCCTACAATAAACAAACTTCACTTTAAGTGAACACGAAAAATATGACAGTTTTTTTTTGAAGAAAAAAGTTAACAATCGACTGATAAAAAAATATTCATCGATATCTTTTTCCCGTGATAGCTTGCGAAGCTATGTGGAAATTAATCCTTATCACATACACTTTTTTTTAATGGCCTTAATTTCACCTTTGAAGTGTAATCGACTATTATTCATCATTGTTATCCTAGTAAAATGTCAAGTAGACACTACCGAGTGTCTAAAACTAACTAACCTTCTAGATTAATCAATGCAGAATAATGTAAACATTTTCCGATTAACTGAATGATTCACACCAAAATACTTTCTGTATGAAAAGAGTGGAGATTATTTATGCAAAGCAGTGCGATTTTAAACATAACAAAGTAGATATTTATGGTACTGAACATAATTCTTGTTTGACACAGAATAGGTATTTTGTCTATTCACCAGGTAAATTCTGTCCTACTTGTATTTACTAGTGATCGAGTAACCATGTAATTAATTATCTTTCAATAAAGCTTCAAACAGAAAATATTGAAGTTATTCTACAACGCCATGATTTCATCGTGGCTTGAACCTAAAACCTTATGGTTACGAGGAAGCTCCATTACCAGTTAGCCACACGGAGGGAATCCAGTGAATTCTAACTTCTTCCAGTTCCTGATATCTCTGGTGTTACTACCAGCTAGTGTCGTCGGTCCCAATTCCCTAAATCTCACCAGTCACTAATTCCCATTGGAACCCCATGAATTCCATTCCGTGTTCACTCACTAATGACCAGTCGGTCGATTTTCAGCCGTCCGGTACTCCTTGGTTTTCCGCAGTTCTTTAAATGATAGTAGGAGATCAAGCCCACCTTGACATATATATAAATGTATATGGGAGAGAGAGACTTTTCGTTGTGATTAACTCATTTATTCAAACAAATAAATAAGGTATTGAGTCACTGAAGTAAAACTGATTTATGAGGAATATTTGTTACTGTCAACGATATTTTCATATTCTCAACACTTATACTTTATCAAGTCAGTCAATCGTTTCCTTCAACATTTGCTTAGGTATATGAATTTAGATAAAGACACAACTAAGTAAAAATATGAATAGTCACATATCGACCAGTTTCCGGCTTTATCAACTAACTATATTCGAATGACCTAGACACTTAATGGCAGCTTCTATTTTTTTAAATTTATTTTTCAGTAATCATTCATTTCAATAAATTCATTAAATCTCATTAACCTACGTGATAGTCTGTAAGCTAGAAGTACATTTTCTGAATTATTTTCCTGCTTTCCCGTAGTATAAAAGTTGACCTTAATAACAGTACTCTACCAATGTTTATTCAGTATTTGCTCTACCAATCTATCGATCATCCAGTGGTATGTTTTATCTGATGTAAATATTTGAAAATTAATTCGTCACAGCCTTAGACTTTTCAGTATTGTGTAAGGTCAAAATGTTGTCGACACGACACTACTGAGGACTCCTAAGGTGGGATGAAACAACTGCTGTCTAGTTTTTGTCAGTATGTAATAGGATAATTTTCACACTGCCTAATCCTAAATAAACTTGACGGATGAAAATTCATTTCGCTACAAAATGACGATTCAAAACAGTAAAAACATCCTCGCCTTTGTTTGCTTCTTTCTAATATTATTCAAGTGTAAATGTTACATTAAACCTTCTAAAAATCAAATCACATAGGTTTGTGAAACTTTTCACTGACATAATACCTTAAAATAGGACGATAAAAACACATTGGTCCTCTAAGCAGCAGTAAGTTTGTACTTTTTTCTCTTCCTTATGACCACCCAACCTTCCCTCTTTCCCAAACTAACTACGAGCTAGGCGAGATTTAGGGTCGTTTCAGCCGAGAATCGAATCTAGATCTCCTGAATGACTCGAAAGAATTCTATCACTGATCAGCCAACACACATGTTTTATTTGGTTCTTGAAAATTCTGTTTATGCTGAAACAAAACTGAAAACCACTGAGTAGTATTACCAATCAATCAATGCATAAAACGTAATGCCGGGCAATGCTGTGTGTCACTATAACTAGCAAACGATGAAATTTTTATTCGGTATTGCTATTATAACAGACATAGTTTCTTGAAATATGAAAAACTTAAGGCGAAACTGACAACTTATTGAGATTTTCAAGTATTGGTTTTGTAGGGATCTTGTTTGATTGGATGGAGGATTTCATCATGAGCTGACATCAGTTAGGGAACCACTGGAAAACCTGCAAGGAGTACTGGACAGCTGTTTCGTCCTGCGTATGGAAGAAGAGTCCCCAACCAGGACGAAACAGCTGCCTAGTACTACTTGCAGGTTTTCCAGTGGTTCTCTAACTGATGTCAGCTCATGATGAAATCCTCCATCCAATCAAACTTATTGAGACTCAAAACACTGTGCATGGATATTACAATCAGATTTAAGAATCGAGCATTCAGAATGTCAGTGGTGTTGACTGGTCGTAATTTGTTGAAGAAAAGAACTATTATGCCTAATGTTTGCTTTTTACTTTGTTTACTGATAGCTGGCCATTTTCTGTACCAGCAGAATGTCCCTCAGACTACGAAAATGGCTTCAAAAATAGAGCAGTTGTCCGACTCAAGAATCTTCAGCTGAAAAATATTTGCAGTCAGGTAAGTAACAGTGACCCCATCGAGTCTGTGCCCTAGTGCAAATCCCTCTCATATAACACAAGAGTTCACGCACCTCCAATTGACGAGTTCCAAGTAAAAATCAAAAGTATTCTGAACGAAATCCCTAATTTCTGCCTAGTGAACAAGTCAGTATTTTTATGACCTTAGAGGGATGTTTAATTTCAGAAGGTGTTGATCAGTCCAACGCACTACAGTTAAACCATGGAAGATTACAAAATTCAACACTAATATGTTTCACTTAATTTTACAGAATAAAGTGACACTGCTGTGTTTACCTTAGATGAAGAAGTGAGCAAGTCGATCGTTGGGATATTTTGGGAAAAAAATATCAAAACTTAGGGGTGTAAAGTGTACACAACAAACATACATTAACCGAGTAAAACAGGAGAAAGATTTCTTTCAAAGATAAAGTGAGCGTTAAACTCTTTAGGCTGGATTATAGTCAAATAGACTAACTCTTTTTTAACCTCTTCTAAAAATTTTTAAGAGATGCATGCAAGATTTTTAGTGTATACAATGCACCACAATCAAGGTCAAACCACTGAGAAAGTAATGAGAAGAATTTGATTACATATCCAATTAAATAGCACTCTTCACAATATTACTTCCAGTAGTTTTGCTTATAGAACTAATCACATAGTAATGCACGCATCTACGGACAAGCATTCTGAGGAGCACCATGTTTGGCTATTCTTACCAAAAAAGGGTCTAGTAGTAATGAAATAATGGTTGATACAGCGTATAGTTTGCCTGACCTACACCAAAAGTATCCTGAGTAAAAAAAAACAGTAAATGAGAACAAATTTAGTGGTTTTTTTTTTAACAAAAATGATATTTAATCTGTTTACAGTTACCAATGTTCACCAGGTAATTAATTAAAAAGCTTTCAAATTTTGGTTGAGACATATCAGTTCTCTGTACAATGGCGCTCCACTTCAGCCTACTGGAACGAATAAAGCCGTTTATTTCTGTTAGCATATAGCCCCCACTAGTAACAATTCGAAAGATCAATGACTGCTAATTCCAACTGACAAGGGCTTTTCAAATCTTCTTCCCTTAAATCCTTCATCTACAGAACCTTTTGACTCCCTTGATATCTTATTTCGACGTTCTGTAAAATTGACAAACCAACCTTTAATATGTTCTAATTGTTGCCTGCACTTTGTTCGTCGTAGCTGATTGTCTTCTTCATTATTGTTATGGAGAGTGATTCTGTCAAAGTTTAAAATATTTAACTCCTGCAAATTTGAATAACTGTTATTATGAGAGTTTAAGTTCGTTTGTTCTTTACCCAGTATAATTTGAAGTTCTTCAGTGTTTTCTGTACCACTCGATGTACTGTTAATTTTGTTTTTAATTGATTCGTCAACTGGCGAGTCAACAGCTACTGTTAAAGACGTCATATTCGAAAGATGAACTGATTCATTTACTAATGGATTCAACTCATCTTCAGGTGATTTACGTGTGTCATTGAGTTTCACATCATTAAATGACTGCTTCAAAGATTCAGATACGTTTGTCTTATTATTGATAGTTTGTTGTGTGCTGTGACTTTTAGTCATTGAGTTAATACTGTGAGCCACTAATTCCTCTTCAATACTATGTCCTTCGGCAGTCTTACACTGAATATAATGTGGTTTGTCTAAGTGATAAAGTCTTGAATGCTTTCGTGATGTGCTGACATTTGCGATCTTACTTGATCGTACACTGTTGGTAGGAGTATAGTAATTTGGTATGGCGGATGTGCTGAAATGACGCTTATTTCTGGGCTTTATCAAGTTCGCATGATTGTAAAGTTCACCGTGTTCACCAGAAGTGTTATATGATGACTGTAATATATCGTGTGCTTCAGACCATGATAAACCATACAAGTCTTCGTGGAACAATGCGACACTGTGCACCATGTAATATCGAAATCTTCTGGAAATACTCGAAGCTTTACGTAGCAGCATTTGTGAGAAACTGAATCTTCGCTTAGTTTGTGAATCGACAGATGTGAAAGTGTATTCGTCATCTGAATAGCTGTGTACACGACTGCCAACCGGCTTTATATCTTCATCTAATCTACTTGAGTTTGAATTATTCCTTTTCACACCGTCAAGTTGATGGTATCCTCCTTCCGATTGCCTATGAGGATTTGAAAATTTTCTTAATTCTTTCTTTGATAAATACTTCATATTTTGTTCCATAGAACATCTAATATTCTCCTCGCGAAATGGATTATCAACAGTTGAAATACGCCTATGCATTGTAAATAAACAGTTTTTCCTCACTTAGTCCAGCTGATGATTGTTGAAATAGTGAAAACAGTTTAACTTTTCTTTTCAGTAATATTCTCTAAAATTCATTAACTTTAAATATCACTACTATGATTATGAATCAAAGCTGCAGTGTATAATTTAGGACAATTCTGCTTTCTGATTGGCTTATGTTTCTGGACACAATATAATTAGATAGATGATTGACAGACGTTTATGATTGGTCGTTTACTAATTTCTTTAATTGGTTGCAAGTTGCCCTTGGGATTTCCGATGAAATTCCCCGCTATTGCAATAATCAAACATTATTATTATTATTAATACTAGTGTTATTATTTTCTGCTTATATACTCATTATTTGTAATTTTACCCACTGAATCTTTCATTAAATGCAGATTCAGAACTTCACAATTCGGTTTCTTTGAATAATTTTAATAAATGTATTACCTTTTGCTTTGTTTGAATGGAGATTAATTTCGAAAGCCATTTTACTATATCAGGTTGATATTCTTTTGCTAACTTCAAACATCTCACTCATAAATGCTCATTGTAGTTTTGAATATACATGCGAGATAAGGCGTTAACACTGCTCTAGAAAATTTAAGACCATTTCATTTAGAATATTTGTCCAGTGAAACATACCTGCACCCACCCAGGTTTTGTGGATAGTGACATATTTAAAGCATATAAGCATCAACCATTTGAAAATATGGGGAACAGGGAGACGGCGAAGTGTGCATACACTGACTTCATGAAAACAGATATATAGACCACAAAAGAACGAGATTATCATGTCTCCCATCTATCACTTTGTGGATAAGAGTGAACTACAAGCCTCTAGAAAGAAAACACCACTTCTAGACTGATAAACATTTTCCAATATCTTCATATACCTCCATATAGCTGGGTCAATTATGTGCAATCTAGGCATTTACGTGAATTAACCACATGTGCGGACTAAGCATTTACATGCGTTACTATTGGCTGGCCATTCCATGTATGCAGTCCAGTCTCACAGAGAGTTAGCGATAACGTAAATGGAATACTGATAATATTTCTGACTTCCTTATTAATCGATCCACATTTTGGTCCACCGAGTAAGAGGGCACTCGGGTGGTTGCGCCACAGGATGATCCTGCATGCCGTTCTTATCTCGCAAGAGGCAGGGATGGGTGTGTTTGGTTCACCTGAAAACCAATACCCAGTCAATGGGTGTGAATTTTTGTGTGTGCGTCGGTGGCACACTGGTTAGGACTCTCGCCGACCACGCACATGGTCCGGGGTTCGACCCCCTGCCGGCGCACACCCGATATCAATGGTCAGCCTGCAAAATTTGAGCTACCGATATCACATGCTGAAAATTCCATACTTGTACCAAAAGTACCGTGTGGTTCTAAGCTATAATAAAAAAATATAAAAAAAACACCCACAGAAGCAACATGAGTATCTTCAGAAATTCAAATACTTCTTATCTATGACTAAGTCTTCCTGATTGAAAACCAGTGCCTAAAATTAATTCTAGTCACATCAGAAGTTTTCTTTCCTCCTTTGTCTAAAAGTCTAAAAGCCAGTTTAACTGGCCACAGAGAGAGGAATCAACATTTTTCAGCGAGAATTTAAAAGAAAACGTCTGAGGGAAGTATACAGATAAATAACTTCAGAATACAGTATAAATATTCTTCTTCGATAATTAATTCTATGAAAATGATTCACAAAATCACATCTGTGATAAAAATGAGATTTTTTATTTCTTCTTTCTGATAATGCATTTATCAGAATATACAAGCAAATAAACAAGCTTGTCATGAGAATGTCGGGGTTTTTTCAGTGTCTAAACCTGTTTTCAGCGTAAAGCAGAATAAGGAAATAAGGTGACATGTGAATGACTCCAAAAACAGTATACCGTCCTCATTATTGTATTCCTCCGCAATATTACTTATAACTGGATACATAAAATGTTATCCAGTTAAACCAGTCATTGGAATGCATCTGATGGTACTTTGAAGTACTTAACCGCATTCAAAGTTAGTGTGGCCATGCTAGAAGTGATTTCAGACTAAACGGAATAAATAACCCAAAATAACGCCTAACTTAGATAATGTACTTGCTGACACTTTATCAGTCCACATATACAAAATACCACAGAAACACTTGTTTCCCTAAAGATTTAAACTTGCACCCTCCCAAAGTCAAGCTCTAACCCACCCCCTGTTGGCCTTGATTATGCAGATAAATTTGCTGGCTGATGTGACTTATATTCCTGTCGAATACACTGCAGTATTTCAAGTCTGCCGAATAACGCACACTGATTCCAATCTCCTACAGTAAGACAATATAGACAAGACATTTAAATCAAGGGGAACTTCTTGTTCAGTGACTTCTAAAACGTGACAGTGAAAAACAATGAAGTTCAGTGTCCTTGGTCTTAGCTTACTGACCACATTGATTTGTTTGAATTCTACTGCTTATCAGTGTACAAATCATGAATTTTCTAGATGAAACCAGTTTTATGTTGACTGGTGGATACATTTGTATCAGTCATTCATATGATAGTAGAGTGAACCCCTCAGTGACTGAAGTGAACCGAGGATTTAGTTGACAACGTGGCCTCATATACTAATTGGCGTTGTGAAGATTGCAGTGTTTCATCTTAATCTGAGAATTTTCCCAAAAACGGATTCCTAAGATTATGGGTCAGGCTTTCGATTGATAAAACTCTAGGAAGACCTACTGAAGTATAAAACTGACGAGAAAGTACATGATATATATCATCACTCCAACGCGTATGGTGAGTTCTGTCTATCCCTTAGTTCGTATAATTACTTCTATAGGTTAATAATTGGCTCACGGGCTGCAAAACAATGATGTTGCATCGAATTACTAGAGTTTATTGTCTGTCCACAGTCCTTCTGATCACTACTTACTGATCAAATCGGGTACTTATTGGAGAATTCAGATGATATACTTCAGCTAGATGAAGAGATTAGCAAGACTTTGACTTAGAGTGGCATATGCTTTTCATTAAGCTCGAATGCAAAATGTTGCTAATGAATCCATCTTATGTACATCTATACTTTATTTATTTAGAAAGAAGGAGGATTAGTAGCCTGTAAGATTCCATCATAGGTGCAGAAGGTTTATGGGATATTGTTTGACAAATGATTTATTTTCATCTGTCAACTTAGATGGGTTATAGTTTAATCGTTTGGATGGATAGAATTCTATTCAGACCACTGAAACTTGACTCGAATTATCAGTCTGAGACAGGAAGCGGATTGCATAATATCAGTAAAACAAATAACAGAAAGAAAGGTGCACTTCTGCTGCAGTTCACATTAATTCACTGAGTACATTCGTTAGCAACAGAATATTGCATATTAATAATTATCGCAATCAAAGTAGTCACTCAATATCAGATAAATGCTTTACACATTCACTAATGGTTTTATTGGTGTTACATGAAAGATTTCAATTTTAAACAAGTAAATTCCCTGTACTGAAGTAATCTTGGTTCTGTGACGTCTAAACTCCTAGTAAGATAGTCATAGGAGCAAGCTTCATTTCTTCCTATGGATGTCAGCAGAATGCATTGGCATTTGTATTTACATGTTCTTTTAGACACTGAATCAACAAACTAAGGCATGCTAATAGATGTTTCTTCGCCAGTGATCAGAAGCTGTAAATCAAATTTCAGGTTTATTATTGTGGAGTTATGGTTGAAATCTAGGTGGACACCTTGTTTTCGGAAAGATTCTATCTAGCGCTCTTTTGGACTCGAATTTCTTGTCCTTAGCCTTCTAGATTAAAGTTTTCAGACTTAGTGGGTATAGAGGTTTTTTAATGCCTTTGATAGTGAAACATTTTTTTAAAAAATCAAGGTACGGTCGCTGTTTTATCTTTGTTATATCAATCTCACATACTGAGGTTTGTGTAAAGTATGTGTAAGTTACATGAATCAGCACCCATATGAAGGTGAAAACAGCTATATGCATCAAAATAAAACCTGCGGTCTGTTTCTGAATTCCACTTAAGGATACTATAGATCTATACAGCGAATACCTAAATATCTTGTAAGGTTAACTTATTAACACCAAGTGATCTACTTAGTGATAAAATTTACCAACTTCTTCAGCATCTCAGATGCTTAATTCCAATGATCTTCGTTTTTCCATGTCTGCAAGTATTGTCTGGCATTGAATAAGCACTACTAATAGCTGATAGTGATCCCATCTATGACAGACTTGCTTTGACGAGCTGCAATTGATGTAACGGGTGACAACTGAAGGCAAAGTGAAAATATGAACAACAACAGTACGATCAGGACTGACAGCACAGGAGCTAACTAAGTAGCTAGTGTGTTGATGAACGGACATTTACGTGTCATTCATTCACATGACATATGTATTTACCACGCGTGATAACTGCCATGAAATGGTGACCCAATTGGTAGTTGGCTGTCTACTGCATTACAGGAATAATAATTCGAAAGCCGCTGGTTCAAATCTTGTCTCGACTCATCTTTTGATTTCAACCTTAATCACCACTACCTATTAGATCAATGTTAGAAGGTTGAATATACACTCTGGTTCAAATATTCACTTGTAACTTAAAAATCCCCATTGAGTCATATAAAGGAAAGACTTTCAGTGAAGAGTTACTCTTTTCGCTGATATCATTCTCGAGCTATACAGTCACACACATATATATATGTAATAAATAATAAATATTTCCAAAAATATGTCATTGGGATTGCAAATGTTTAGATAACAGTTGCATAATATAGAAGGCCTTCTGCTCTTCACGGCTGAACTTTTACTAACTTTCTCTACAAAACCAATGATTCTCATGGACGTTAAGGACAAGCTGGCCTCATCAGTGTGTATCTATCGATTCATCTGCTCCTGTGGAGGTAAGCATGTCAGCCGTACTCAGAGTTTGTTGTCTAAACGTATCATCGAACACTTAGCGTCATAGTTTTATTGAGGAGAAAAAAGATCCCCTTGCAACTCTTTCTTGGAACGCCTGATTGAATCTGGACACCAAGTGTACGCGCAAACCAGCTTCAAAGTCATCTACAGAATACTCAGGAATCTTGCTGAAAGAGTATGAATCGAACTTCTTGAAACCACAGAAGCGATGGCGATTCACATATTAAATCCCTAACTCTAAAATACAGAAGAAGTTTGTTCAGTCACTAAACTTACAATGGACTTGATGTATC